TGTGTGCCTTCACAGCTGCCTCCCAACCCCAGGGATGACGGCGTGCTGCTGTGTCCTGCCGATGAAGGGGCTGAAGCTTTAGAGGGAGCTACACCAGCTCACGTTCACAAACCCATGGAGCCAAGGTCACACTCTAGGCTGACCCCCAACCCGCTGAGCCACAGGGACTGAGGGCAGCGGGGGAGAAGGCCCATTTCCAGGCCACGCTGGCCCGGCAGTGGCAGTCACCAAATGGCATCTCCATCATTTGGAAATGCTTTTGGTTGTCACCAGGGAAAACCCAATGAACAGTAACTGAAACACTTCAGGACTGATTTTTCTTATTAACCAGGAGTCTGTCGGCTCTGGTTAGCACAGGATTCCTCTATCTTACTGCGGACATTTTAAGCTAGATTAGTCTTTGTTGTGGGGGCTGTCCTGTGCATTTGAACGTTTAACAGCATCCCTGGCCTCCCCTGCCTAGAAGCTAGTAGTGTTCTCTCCTCCAAGTCATGACTATCAAAAATGTTTGCAGACATTGCCAAATGTCCTCTGGGTTTAGCGGTATGAAGAACAGTGTCTGTGAGTCTCTTGGACACATGGTCACAATATGACTGCCACAGCTCCAGACATCCCACCCACGTTCAGGGCAGAAAGAACAAAGGTACCAACTGCCTCTGTCTCGTAGCAGAAAAGTGGAAGCTTTCACAGAGGCCTCAACAGGCTTTCACTTAGGTCTCACTGGCTACAACTGGGTGACATGACATGGCCACCCTCTGCTGCAAGGGAGGCTGAAAAAACAACGATTTCTTTTTCCAACCTGTTTAGCCGTAATGGGCGAGGAAGAAGAGGGTGGGAGTGGCTGCCCACAGTGCCCACTACCATCCTGGGACTTTTATCCAAGGGCACTTGTTTCCACCAGTATTGAACGTCCAGGCTGTGTCACTTTACTGGGGCTGAGCTGAAGGTTTTAAAAATCGGTGACTTCTTGGACCTGGGAATGCCTTTTCAAATCTGATTTGTCTGGAAATTCCATGTCCACATCTCAGGGCTGCCTCCGTCTTCCTCCGTGGTTTCAATGACCTCTTCACTTCTCCCCTTGCTCATTCATTCACAAACACTTTCCCAGCCTTGCCCGGGTTCCTGGGACAGGATTTCCTGCAGACTGAGGAGTTAGGGAAGCCTTGGCTAGCCTTTCCAGGGATGGAAACCTGAGCCAGTGTCCCGGTGGCAGCACTTCGGGGTGACCAGATCCGGTGACCGGTGCCAGGCCCTGTGCTCTGCCCATGGAATCACAGGATCCTCCCACCAGCCATGCGACAAGCGCTATAATTATCCCCGTCTACAGAAGGCTTGTTAAGGATGGTGCCCAGGGCCACACTGCTAGTGAGGGTGGGGCCGGCAGCCTAGGCCCCCTGGCTCCCGCCCTGCTCCTCCTCATCTCCTCTGTCCAGCCTTGGGGCAGCCTGTTCGTGGCCACACCACCCAGGACCACATCAGTGCCGGTGGGCTGTGGCTCTGAGGGTTGTCTGATCAATGGCTCTTGCTCCCTTGGTCAAGGCTGCAGGCAGCACAGGCTCAGAGAGCCTGAGGCTGGTCCACCCTTGACCCTGCTCTGTCCTGAGCTTGCCCATCTATGGAAACAGGGGTTTGGACTAACTGCCCTTATTGGTTCATGAATCCGACCAGTGAGGCTAGAACTGCCAACACCCTATTCCAGCTCAGGTGACAGCTGGGGTGAACGGAGTCATTTCCTGACTGAAGTTCTAATCCTGACTTGACCTTGCCCCACTTGGCTGTGTGGTCTTGGGCACTTGGCTTAACCTCTCTGAGGGTTCACCTGCTCTGCCCTCAAAGCAGGGAGACTAGGTCTTCTTCTGAATGCGGGTTTGGGGGGCGGGGAACAAAATGAGATCAGGAACCCAGCTTGCCATGAATTACCCTTGGTGGCATTAGAGAAGCCATGCTGAGCCTCAGTCCTCTCCCTCTTAAAACTGGGCAAGAGCGCCTACGTATGACAAAGGCTATTTCCAGATTATTAATGTATGTAAGACACCCAGTCCAGGACTAGCCTAAAACAGGCATTCCAAGGCAACTGGCCTTGATCGCTATTAGTGATTTGTGAGGAATTAACCACCCAGTACTCAGAAAGTCCTCGTTAAAGGCAGGAGCTGTACTCCCCACTTCTGAGCCTTTGCATTCTTTGTTCTCTCCACTGTTCCCCTGTGCAAATGGCTGTCTCTCTTATAGCTCCCAGAGGCCTTCCCTGGGGACATCCGCCCTCCTGCCCCCCCCCAGCCCCCCGCCCCTCCTCTTGTGCTCTACTCAGCACTTGCCTAGGATATCTTCCCTAGAAAGCTGATACTAAACGTTTTCATTCATGATGGTCTCTCAACCCCTCCTAAAATGTAAGCTCCAGAGGGATGTTTGTCTCCTATTTGCTGTGTCCCTGGGGCCTAGAACCTGGGCGTGGCATGTGATGGGCAATTCCTAAGTGTTTGGGGTCATTCATAAATGTGTATTGGAGGCTGGGTGCGGTGGCTCAGCCTGTAATACCAGCAATTCGGGAGGCCAAGGCAGGAGGATTGCCTAAGCCCACGAGTTGGAGACCACGCTCTACACAAAATATAAAATTATCCCTGCATGGTGGTGGGCACCGGTAGTACCAGTTATTCGGGAGGCTGAGGCAGGAGGATGGCTTGGAGCCCGAGAGGTCGAGGCTGCAATGAACTATGATCACTGCACTCCAGGCTGGGCAACAGAGCGAGACCTTGTCTCAAAAAAAAGCGGGGGGGAGGGGTTTGGGTGAATGACTGTCCGGCAGGAGTTGGTGACACGTGGGGACACGGGCCTCCGGAGGGGCGGAGAGATTGGTGACCCAGAAACCCAAGGGGGCCAGAAAGGAGTGCGGCGGGACCTGCGCCTGGGGAGCCCCGTCTCCAGCCTCCACGCCCCTGTCCCGCCCGCTTCCGGGCCGGTAGAAGACCCCGGGCTCCCCCGCCGCCCTGGCCGGCGCTTTCCCCTGGGCCCAGCCCCGGCGGCAGCGCTGTCGCGCCGGGAGGGGAGCGGGCGGGGCGGGCCCGGGCGGCGCTGGGACTTGTAGGCCGGGAGCCCAAGCGCCTCGGGGCTGAAGCGCGTGGCCGCGCCGCCGACCCGGCTCCAGCTCGCCCAGGCGACGCGACGGCTGGGGACAGCCTCGGAGAAACTGAAGGGGAAACTGAGGCCTGGTGAAGGGACCCAGCTGGCCCAAGAGCACGCGGCCGGGCAGTGGCCGCCTCCCCCGGCCTCGCGGGGGCAAGTGAAGGTCACACTTTAATCAAAGTTTTCAAAGGCGCTTCGAAGGGCCGCCGGCTGGTCGGGAGCTTTCCGCACCCCACCTTGTTCCATCGTGGATTCACTCAGCAAACATGTCACAGGGCCCGCTGCTTGCCAGGCCCTCCAGCTTGGGCGAAACATGCCAGGTTCCTGTTCTCACGGCGCCCAAATTGGGGGGGGACTCCAGGCAGGCGAGATGGGAAGCCCCGCGAAAGGAGGAGAGGAAACCACGCGGGGTGAAGGGCAAGGGGGGCCGCGGGCGGGGCAGGAGCGCCAGGAACGGGGAACGAAGGGGGAAGGGAAGAAAGGAGGCCGAGGCTTCTGGAAGAGTCCGGGTCCTATCCCCACTGTGTAGCGGGATAGCGCGGAGCCTGGGGGAGGGAGAGGTCAGAGGTCAAGGCTGCCGAGGGAGCGTGGGCCAGGGAGTGGGGGAGGGCCGGGAAAACTCCGCCCGCAGTCAGGGCAGGGGGTGCTGGAGGAAGCGCGGGGAACCCCTCGCCGGCCCTGCTCTCCCCCGCAGCCCACAGGGTGCCACCCCCAGTCCCCACAGACCCCACCAGCGTCGCCCTGTGCTGAGAGGAGGCCCTGTGCTGGGGCAGGGAGTGACCCCGCTTAGAGCTGCGGTTTCCCAGCGGCACCGGTCCCAACCGCGGGGTCCGTAGATGAGGCGGGTTTGAGTCCCCCAGTCCCGGCTTCAGAGGTGGAGAGTGTAACCCGCAGGTCCGGGCTCAGGGCCTGTGCAGTCACACGGCCCTTCCCTTCGCTCAGAACAGCGCGGGGCTGGGTTTCATGCTCCACCGCTGCCAGGTTGAAATTCCTGGCTTTTGAATCAGGGGCCCGCGTCTGCATTTTGCACTGGGCCCCGAAAATTCTGTGGCTGGCCCTGCCTGGTGTGACGCTCACAGGAGCCGCAGCTGGGGCCGCCTATCTATGGCTGGGGGCCGGGAGGAGGCGCCGGGGGCTGCTCTCTGCTTGCCCCAAGGATCCCTACACCAGCCCAGAATGGGGTGGAGCTGGAAAGAGCCCACAGCTGCTTCCTCTGCGCACCTCCTCTCCCGCGGGGCCTCCAGGACCCACTTCTACCGCTGCGCCCTGGTGTAGCTCCCTCGGGGGTCGTTCTCTGTATGCTTACTGGCCGAACTGTTTCTCAGTCCTAGACGCTCCATGGGGCCAGGGAGTGTGATCTGTGCTCCGCTGCAGCCTCGCGCCCGGAATGACGCATGGGGCTCCCTGGTAGGTCGGAGGAACTCATCTTATATATAAAACAGAAATCATTCCACTTTTTTAATATGACACGTGGCTGTTCCCTAAGTCGCCCTGGGTTAAATACCGACTCAATAAACAGGATGCTAAAAAGCTTTTACATTTAATTCTCCAGACAGACGGTGCACTCCACGAGGGCAAGGGCCTGGCCTCCCAGATTCAGGTCTGTGGTTAGTGCCTGTAACCCAGCGGGCCGGCGGTGGCTGCCAGGAGAGAAAGGCGCGCCTAGCGCCCCCAGATCCGGATCCGCCCCCGGCCCGCGTGCGCGTCCCTCCCCTTTTCCCCGTCTTCCCCACTATCCCCGCGCGGCTGGGCGGGGCTGGGACTACGCTTCCCGGCGGTCCCCGCGCGCCCGGGGCGGGCGGGGCCGGTGGGGGCGGGGCCAAGGTGGCTGGGGGCGGGGCCGGCTACAAAGCCCGGGGGCGGTGCCGGGGCGCAGAGTTCCCGCAGCGCCGGTCGGGAGCGTAGCGAGGCGCAGCTCGGCGCGCTGAGCGGGAGCGGCGCGCGAGTGGTCGGGCCTGGCGGCTGGACGGGCGCCTCTGGCCGCCCCGCGCGCTCCCCGCCGCCCCCCATGAGCGCAGCGCCGCACGGCCCGGGTCCGTAGGTGGCGGGGCGCCCCCCATGCTGCTGCAGCCCGCGCCGTGCGCCCCAAGCGCGGGCTTCCCGCGGCCCCCGGCCGCCCCCGGCGCCATGCACGGCTCCCAGAAGGACACCACGTTCACCAAGATCTTCGTGGGCGGCCTGCCGTACCACACCACAGACGCCTCGCTCAGGAAGTACTTCGAGGGCTTTGGCGACATCGAGGAGGCCGTGGTCATCACCGACCGCCAGACGGGCAAGTCCCGCGGCTACGGCTTCGTAAGTGGCCCCTGCGCCCGGGCCCGCACCCCGCCACACACCTTATCACGTCCCGGGCGCCGAGTCCACTCGGGGGCACACGCCCAGCCCGCCCGCGGCCGCCCCCGCCTCGGACGCCTCCCGCCGCTCTCGCACCTGCCGCCTCTCCTGGGCGCGCTCCCACCCCCGTCACCGCGGGCCGGGGCCCCGGCTCTCACCCCCACCCCCACCTCCACTTCCACCCCCACCCCCGGTTTAAGAGGAAGAGCTGCTGTGTTCAATTAGGACTCCTAAGTTGGTGGGAGGTTTTGGAGCCACATGGGCACTCGGGATTTCCTGGAGCAGCGGCAGGTGAGGAGCCACGGCTCCTCCCTGGGATGTTTGGAGCCCTTCGGCCTTCCTCTATTTTCAACAGACCCCTCAGCGGCCCCAAATAAACATCAACTTAAGTAAAAACGACTTGAAGACATGTTTCCTACTTCCCTTCCAAGCCCAGCGTCCAAACTCCTTCCCAGAGGAAATTCTCAGCCGGCGCTGGTGGGCACTGCAGGCGGCCCCCCCTCCCTTCAGGGTTCATTTTTGCCCTGTCCCCTCAGGGGTTTTTGTCCTTGAAGCCCACATTTCCTAGGACTTGAACTTTGAAGGGAGGTGCTGAAATCCAGGAGGCATCTTTGTGGGAGGGCCCCAGGTAGGGGTCAGAGGGGCCTTGGCCCAAGGACCCTGGGCTACAGCACCCTTAGTGGAAGGGAAGGAGGGGGGTGACAGCATCCGGTGCCAGAGCAGAGCCCTCTGCCCCTTTCGCCCCTGGTTTCCCTCAAGGCAGCCCCTGAGGTGTCCGTGCTCCTCCAGGTGACCATGGCCGACCGGGCGGCAGCTGAGAGGGCTTGCAAAGACCCCAACCCCATCATCGACGGCCGCAAGGCCAACGTGAACCTGGCGTATCTGGGCGCCAAGCCGCGGAGCCTCCAGACGGGTGAGAGCTTGTGTTTTCCTGCCTGGCTCTTCTCGGTTTCTATATTGGGTGTCCGTATCTGCCGGGTGGAAAGAGGCCCCCCCTGCCCCAGCGGTGGCAGTCAGCTATCATGTGCCTGCAGAGCCAACCCAGGGCAGCCATCCCCCCCCTCAAGGATCTAGACCCCTTCTCACACCATGTGGCCCACGGCAGGGGCCAGGGGGCAGGGAGGGTGCTGCTCCCCAGTTGCCAGCTGTCCTCTCGGGAGGGAGGAAGTGACCATGGGGCCTGGAGGTTGGAGTGCCCACACCAGTGGCTGCTGGCACCTGCGTCACTCGCTGCCACACTTCCTCAGGGTGCTTTGGGGCTCCCGAGGGGGGGCCTGGGAGGGGAGAGGAAGCTGATTATCCCTTTTGACAAGAGGTGGATGGCTTGTGGGGTTCTGCCACCCTGTGGGCAGCCCCAAGACATCGCCCCTGCGGTAAGACCAAGCCCCTGACTGTTCTCTCGTTTCAGGCTTTGCCATTGGGGTGCAGCAGCTGCACCCTGCACTGATCCAGCGGACTTACGGGTGAGTGGATGTGGTTGGCTTGGGGTGGGCAGGCTGTTGAGATGAGGTGGAGAGGGCCTTGGGCTTCCTGGTCTGGAAGCCTGGTGAAATGACAGTTTTCAGACATGTGATTGCGTTGATGCCAAGGGAGTGGAGAGAAGGCAGATTGCGTTTCTCTGTCCTGGGCAGGGGCCGCACTGCCCAGGGGACTGTGAGCCTTGGAGCCTGCCTGCCTCGGTGCGCACCCCAGCTTCCCTCGATAGGTGTGTGGCCTCACTTTCCTCACCTGTGAAATGGGGGTGGTCACAGCATGTCTGAGGTGTCTGAATGGAGGGCCTAAGGGTGGGCCTGGTGCGGGTGACGCCCTCTGGTAGTGTTTGCTGATGATTCTTAGGGACTGGCAGGCTGGGCTCTTCCCCAGGCACTCTCTCACCTGCTCTGTGCTGGGGCAGATGGTGGCAATAGGTCATTGCCATCGAGGTCTGATGTTTGTGAACGCTGCTACAGATAGGATGTGTTCAGGGTTGGGGCGGAGGCCGCCTGCCTGAGCGGCCTGGTCTGTGGGATCCTAGTCTGACTCATTTAGAAGCAGCACATCCCACTCTCCCCCATCCTAAAACGCCTCCCACCTCCCTGCCCTTTTAAAAACATCTAATAAGGCCTAGCAGCTGCTTGGGGAAGGACACACACGCTCGGGATACAACAGGGCCTGCCGTGCGGCCTGCTTCCCCAGCCCCAACATGTGAGCTCTCTGCTCCAGCACAGCATGTTGATGGGGTGCGGTTGGAGTTGGAGGGGAAGGCAGCTCAGAGACCACCACCGCTTTTAGGCCACTGGCACTTCATGAGCTTTCTGAATCCAGATCCCTAATGCCAGTTGATCGTGTGTGTGTGTACATACGTGTGTACACCCACACCATGCGGATTCCATGGAGAGGTGCACAACTTGAGGAGGGCCCTGTCTCTCTGGGGCAGTGTGGACAAGGCTCCTGTGGAAACAGGCAGGGCCCAGCTCCTAGGCGAGTGGGTCAGAGGCCTCAGCAGAAGTTGCTGTGCCTACTTTTTGGAGATGCTTGCCCTGAGGGGTGCCTCGGGGGCTCCCCACCGGCTTCCCTGTGCATTGGTGGGTTTGTGTGAGTGTAGCAGTGGGAGGAGCCGCTGGCCAGAGGGTGCTGGAGTGGCCGGGCAGCTCAGCTTCCCACTGGGGTGCTTCTGTCCTCCTGAGAAGGGAGCGTGTGGGGTGGTGGGAGCAGGCAGCCCGGTGCTGCTCGTGCTGGCGTCTGTTTTGTGGATGTCTAGAGCCATCTTAGAAGGTGTTTGGGAGCACGCCAGGCTTCATGCCTTCACTAAGCTTCTTCCTCTGGGGTTCAGCCCACATGAGGAGGGTGTTCCTTGTTTTCCGGACCCTTGGCTCCGTTCCCCAGGCCCACTGCAGGCACCTGAGGGCACGGGCTGGACAAGAGCTGCTGCCCAGAGGTGACGATGCACTTCCAGCGCCGGCGGTTCTCTGCTACCGTGGGACCAGGCCTTCCCACCTGCGTCTCCGCTCGCTCTGGTCCACGCAGCTGTCTCTGGGACTCCATCACTGTCAGTGCTTGGCCTCTGGGGCCTGCAGACATGGGTTCAAATCCTGACTTTGCGCCTTACCACCTGGGTTTGTCTTGGCAGGTGGCGTCCTCCTCATCCAGAAGGCAGGAACATTAAACCACTTAGAACAGTGTGCGGGCAGGCGGGCTGGGTGATCTGGCCTCCCCACCAAGTCTGCTCCTGTCCTCACAGTGGGCCTCTGAGGATGGGACTGAAACTATTCTCACTTTATAGATGGGGAACTGAGGCAGAGAAAGGCTAACCACCTGTCCAGGAGGCGAGGTAATAGGTGTCTGGGAGGAGATCGGAACACAGGCGATGTGTGCCTGAACAAAGGCTTTCTTGCAGGGGAGAGCCGGAAGGGCCCTGGCCAACCTCTCCCTTGCTGTTCCGGAGTCCTGTGAACACCACCGGTCCAGAAGCAGTCGGGATGGGTCACAGATTCTGTCGCTGTGTGCACTCAACTTCAGACGACAGTGTTTTGTAACTGTATCTGCTGGCTGGCCATTTAATACCTATGACGATGAAGAGGCCACAGACTCTATTTGTTGGTTGCCAAGGGGTGGAGACCCAAACAGGGACGGTGTGAGAGGGACCATCTGCGCTTGGTTTCTTGGGAGTGCTGAACTCAAGCCTCAGAGTCTCACTGCCCCCGGCCCCTACCGGGGCCTTGCTGAGGTGGGTGGTGGGAGCCTCGGGTGCAGCTCCAGGGAGGTAGCGGGCCAGGCTGCCTGGGTCAGCTGTCTGCCCCCGGCCCCCGCTTGCCAGCCAAGCTGGAGAGCTAGGCCGTCAGCGTCCCTTTTGTCTTTGTGAACAATCAGGCCCCGGGAGCACAGCCGGCCTGACTCAGCGGCCAGTTTTGTTGGCCTTGGGCTGGCATCGAGGCCTGCCCTGCTGTTGGCTGAGGGCATGGAGGGAGGTGGGAGCCAGGAGCCCAGGCAGCTGAGGGTTGTCTACCCGTTAACCCCTTCTGTGCCTGGCTGAACTCTCCCTTGACTTTCTGGCCCCACCTTTTATACCTTGCGCTGGGCAACTCTGAAGATCCCACAGCTCTGCTTTCAGGCAAGACCCTGCGGAATCTTCTCCTGGCTGGGCCTCAAATGTTAGTTTAGAAAGATTTGCCAGGGAGTTTTTACACTTTCTGCTATGTGCCTGGGTTTCCTTGCCTCTGTTTCCTCCTTTTTCAGTTGAACAGGCTCTCGTGAGACCTAACTCACCTGTGCTTTTCTGACCTAACTGTGGGTCCGGGGTTGGAGGAGCCTTCCTCGGCGGTGGCAAGTACATGACAGTCACAGCAGGAGCCGGTGGCCGTGGCCTGCTGAGGGTGTCTGCCAGCCGAGCATGTCTGTCACCTGCCAGTTGTAGGGGGTGGTGTGCAGTGGTCTGGAGAGGGTCTGTGTCCAGTCAGTTTGGTCTGGTCCAGAAGAGCCCCCTGATGTCAAGGGGTGTCTGTTTACTCCTGGGCTGAGGGCACCGGCAACCAAGGTTTGTCCTGGGCCTGGCTGCACCCAGAGCCTCTCCTTGGGTTATTTTTGAAGGGCCAGCTGCTTCCTTGGGTTCAGGTCTTCCTGCCTATTTACGGTCCCTGCTGTGGCCTTGACGCCTGTTCCCTGAGGACCTATGGAACGTCTGAAGGGAATGGAGCATGCCTAGCTTCCACCCCCTAGAAGCCAGTAGCATTCCTTCCCCCAAGTAATGACTACCAAAAATGTCTCCAGACATTGCCAAATGTCCCCTGGGTTTAGTGGTCTGAGGACCAGTGTGTCTGTGAGTCTCTTGGACCTTGCCTCATGGTCACAAGATGACTGCCACAGCTCCAGACATCCCACCCATGTTCAGGGCAGAAAGAACAATAAGGGACAGTATGAACTGCCTCTGTCTCTTTTAGCAGAAAAGTGGAGGCTTTCACAGGCCTCAACACGTTTCCATTTAAATCTCACTGGCCACAACTGGGTGACAGGACATGGCCACCAGGGGATTCAAGACAAGACCGGCTCCTGGGACTCGGGGGTGTCAAGTACAGGCCATGTCTAGGAGCGAGGGCCCTGGGATCTGCCTGGGCTCGAGGCCAGGCCCAGCCGGTCTCTGCGGGCTACTCCCCATCTGTGAGTGGGAACGGTAACACTCCCTCTCCTACAGGACTAACTTGACTGTGTGTGTAGCTCCTGTAGATGAGGGCCTGGCCATCACAGTTTGTCAGTGACACGTCTCTTGCCGGCCCTGCTCTAGGGTCTGTGCAAAACCGAGGCTCAGAGCAATTGAGAGACTTGCTGGGTTCACACATCCCCAGACTGTGGGACCTGAGCCAGGGCTGCGAGGCTCTTGTCCCTCCTATAAGACTCAGCGCCTCCCTCTGGCTAGGTGGCAGCTCTTGGATGAATCAGAGCACAAGGCCCCGAGATTGACAGTGGTCGGGAGACCCTCTCCCAGGCCTGTGCCTGCCCCACTGCATGTGTAGTTTCAGGGACCCCTGCATCCTTCGTGTGAAGGTCTCCGGTGCCCACATTGACCGGGTGGTTTATGGCTGCCCTTGCCATCACGGGGCCTGGGCAGAGCACCTGGGTCTCCAGGGCAAGAGGAGGGACAGGGGAGGCAGTGATGGGAAGATGCGTGTCTCCCAGAGGCTGGAACGTACAAGCTGGGGAGAATGTAAACAGCTGCTCCCAGCATCATTGATTCATCAGGTGTTTATTGAGTTCCTGCTGTATACCGGGCCTGGTGCCAGGGATCCTTTGAATAAGAAAGACCCAGCTCCCGATCTCAGGGTGCTCACGCTCTGTCTGTGCACTCATGGGCCCGCATGGGGATGCATGGAGTCAAACAGGAAGCTGGCGGAGGGAGTGCCTGTGTGGGGACTGAACAGTCCGAGGTCTTGAGTACAGCGGTGGGGAGTTGTGTCTGTGTGTGATACAGCTTCACACTTGGTGTGTAACTACACGTGACATAACGGAAGTTAGTGCATGCAGAGAACGGTGCAGGGTGACGCAGGCCTGCAGTCCAGTTCCTAGACTGTGCCCATGGTAGTTTCCTGGTTTTGCCAATGTCCTTAGTTACTTGGATGTGCCCTTGGGGGATGGAGGAGGCAGGGTACAGAGGACCTCTCTGTACTGTTTTTGCAACTTCTTGGGAGTGTTTTATAATACAGAGTGAAACAAAGCCAGAGGAAGGGTTTGCAGATGAGGGCGCGCGCGTGCGCGTGTGTGGGCACGTGCGCGTGTGCACACATGTGCTGGGGAAGGCCCCCTGAGGATGAGGCGAGTGGGGAAGTGCACCCTATTGGCACCCGGGGCAGAGTGAGCAGCCCAGGCTTAGGGCAACAGGTGAGCCTTAGGTCGCCGTGGCGGGCACGGGGTGAGAGCCACGGGGCTGGGGCAGCAGCTGCGGTCAGAGCCAGGCGGCATGGGGGCTGGGAGGAAGTGACTGCCCCCCCCCATT